TGTGTGATCTTTGATCTTCATCAGTAAGGGGACTGTATTTTAAGTCCTCTTTTAGTAAGCAAGGCTGTATCATCTGCATATTGCAGGTTGTTAATGAGTCTTCTTCCAATCCTGATGCCACATTCTTCATATAATCCCAATTCTTGGATTAGGTGCTCAGCATACAGACTGAATAAGTATGGTTCAAAAATACAATCCTGGTGCATACCTTTCCTTATTTTAAACCATTTATTGTCCCTTTGTTCTGTTTGAGTGACTCTCTTGTTCTATGTGCAGCTTCTTCATAAGCACAACAAAATGTTTCTGATTATCCATTTTCAGCAATGTTATCCATAGTTTGTTATCATTCACACAGTCAAAAGCCTTAGTCAATAAAGCACAGGTAAAAATTTTCCAACTACTTTCTGCTTTCAGGCAAGATCCATCACATCAGCAATGATATTCTTTGTTCCACATCCTGATCTGAAACCGGCTTGAACCTATGGCAGTTCCCTGTCAATGTACTGTTGCAGCCATTTTTAAATTACTTTTAACAAAAGTTTACTTGCATGTGATATTAAATATATTGTTTGATGGCTTCCACATTTCATTGAGTCACTTCTCTTTGGAATGGTCATATCTCTGTTCACCAGGGGAACATGGGGAAAAGAATAAATTGCATCTTTCCTCTTACCCGTGTGGATCTGATGTACCAGACCTCCTTGTGTAGTCAAAGCTGCTCACAAGATGGCTGTGCTGCATCATCAATGTCCCTCTCTCGCCATCCCTGCTTGACCTCTCCTGCCAGCAAGTACTCCACCTACCTCTCTAACCTTTTTTCTGCAGATCAGGGTGCCAGAATTTTCATCTGTATCTGTTTCATTTGATTTCTTGTATCTTTGTTGTAGAAGGTCTTTGTAGTACCTTAGCCAATTCTGCCATTTTGCCGGAAGTCCTGTTCCAAATTTCTTGGCATAGATGAGTGTGTGCCTCTAGTGCTGCATCAGTTTGTTGAAAGATTTCAATTTGTAGCCCATCAGTTCCCAGAGCCTCGTTCTTTGCCAATGCCTTCAGTGCACCTTGAACTTCTTACTTCAATATCATTGGCTCTTGATCATATACTATGTCTTGAAATAGTTGAACAATGATCATTTCATTTTGGTATACAGTGACTCTGTGTATTCCTTCCATCTTCTTTTGATGCTTTCTGAATCATTTAGTATTTTGCCCAGAGAATCCTTCAATATTGTAAGTCATGACTTGAATTTTTTCTTTAGTTCTTTCAGATTGAGAAACGCTGAGTGTGTTATTCCCTTTTGATTTCTAAATCCAGGTCTTTGCACATTTCATTATAATACTTGACTTTGTCTTCTCAAGCTGCCCTTTGAAATTTTCTGTTCAGTTCTTTTACCTCCTCATTTCTTCCACTTGCTGGAGATCAAGTTTCAGAGACTCTTCTGATATCCATTTTGGTCTTTCCTTCTTATTTTCTAATGACCTTTTGCTTTCTTCCTATATGATAATTCTTGATGTCATTGCACAATTCTCTAGTCTTTGGTCATTAGTGTCTAATGCATCAAAACTGTTCTTGAGATTATCTCTAAATTTAAATGGGATCTCTCCAAGGTCATATTTTGACTCTTAGGAACTTGTTTAATTTTCTTCAACTTCAGCTTGAACTTGCTAAGAACAATTGATGGTCTATTTTACAGTCTGCCCCTGGTTTGTTTTTCCACTGACTGTCTCTTCCCACAGATGTAGTAGATTTGATTTCTGTGTATGCCATTTGGTGAGGTCTATATATATAGTTGTCTTTTAGGTTGTTTTAAAAAGGTATTTGCAATGAAGAAGTCATTGGCCTTGCAAAATTCTATCATGTGATCGCCAGTATAATTTCTATCACCATAGCAATATTTTTCAACTACTGATCCTTTCTCTTTGTTTCTAACCTTTGCATTCCAATCACCGGTTATTATCAATACATCTTGATTGCATGTTGATCAATATCAGACTGAAGAAATTGGCAGAATTCTTCAGTTTCATCATCAATGGCTTTAGTGGTTGGTGTGTAAATTTCAATAATAGTCTTATTAACTGTTCTTCCTTGTAAGCATAGTGAAATTATCCTATCACAGATAACATTGTACTTCAAGACAGATCTTGACAATGTTCTTTTTGATGATGAATGCAATGCCATTCCTCTTCAATTTGTCATTCCCGGCATAGTTAAACATGAGGTTGTCTGATTCAAAATAGCTAGTACCAGTCCATTTCAGCTCACTAATGCCTAGGATATCAATGTTTACGTGTTCTATTATTTCACGTTTGACAACTTCTAGTCTTCCTAAATTCATACTTCATACATTCCATGTTCCAATTATTAATGGATGTTTACAGCTGTTTCACTTCATGTTGAGTTGTGCTCTGTAAACAAATGAAGGCTTCTAAAGCTTTACATCATTTGCATCATCACAGTCAACTCTACTTTGATAAGGCAGCTCTTCCTCAGTTGCATTTTGAGTACCTTTCAACCTGAGGGGCTCATCTTCTGGCACTATATCTGACAATATTCTGATGGTATTTATAATGTCTCAATGTTTACTATTCTGGTACTGACAATGTTCCACTGCTATTCATAAGGTTTTCAGTGGCTAAACATTCAGAAGTAGTCTATCTCTCCTTCTTCCTAGTCTGTCTTAAAGTCTGGAAACTCACCTCAAAACTGTCCACTATGGGTGACCCTGTTAATATTTAAAATATCAGTGGCACACAGCTTCCAGCATCAAAGCAACACACAAGCCACCAGAGTACAACAAACTGACAGATGAATAGTGAAAACTATCATACATTCATCAAAATGAACAATCATTAGAAATATGCTCATCTAGAAACAATGACCAACCCAGTATCAATGAGAACCACTGGCTGGGCTGCTTTCTTCCTAACTGTTATTTCTAACTCTAATTTCCCATAAAAAGGAGGCAGATTCTTTGGAAAAATAGCTGTATCCTGCCTAGGACAGGAAATGTCACAATTAGCCTAGCATAATTTATCATACTAGAAAACAAAGAAACTATCAAAGACTAAGGAAATAGTCTCAAAAAGATTTAAAAACTTGGAGATTCTCACTTTCAAAAAAAAAGGGATAACCCATACATCTATACGAATGATGACTGCAATGGATTAAAACACATAGTTTTCAGTCTTGTTGTTGTTAAGTGCCATCGAGTTGGTTCCGACCCATAGCAACCCTGAACAGGGTTTCCAAGCCTGTAAATCTTTACAGGAGCAGAAAGCCTCATCTTTCTTCCGCGGAGCAGCTGGTAGTTTCGAACTGCTGGCCTTACAGTTTGCAGCCCGATTCATAACCATTACGCTACCAGAGCTCCTAGTTTTCAGTCTAGAAGACAATAACAAAATGAAAAACAAAACAAAACAAAATCCTCAGCTATAGGATGCTAGAGAATCAATTCATCCTTTTGAAAGCTAGTACATAAAGCAAAGAATCAAGTATTTTACCCTGACTTATCTCTTAAAATTGTACTTCAAGGTAACCAAATAATTGATGAAGGGAAGTATTCCAGGCAAAGAAATGAAGAATGAATGATAGAATTATAGTATCATGATTCTAAAAGTCCCACTGAATTAACAGTCGACTAACTAAACAAAATAAGTGATAGCTAGATTATTTTGTGCTTCCTGACAGAAATTATGAAATCACCTATGAAATAGTCTTGCACTCCCCCTACTCAGACCAATTAGATGAAGACGAAGGATATGACAGACCAATCAGATGAAGACAAAGAACATGACAGACCAATCAGATGAAGATGAAGGATCTGACGAAGCTTCTAGATTTAATTTACACTGTGCAGCAAATACAGAATTCAGATGAATACAAAATGGGGGTGGCATCAGTTGGGGGTGGCATCAGTAAGAGCCATTGAAAAATTTGATGGGGCAAATTTTTATAGTCTTCCCTGATCCCCAGGAAAAGGGCTAAGTTTTTGTTGTTGTTTTTTTTTAAAGATGAAGATGGAACTTATCAATCATCAATCTATAAATTATAAGAGACTTAAGGACATAGTGACCAATTTGCAATATGTAAACATTATTTTAGATGCTGATCTGAACAAACCCACTGTGCAAAAAACACTTAAGAGACAATTAGCAATATGTGAACAAACACTGGGTGGTAGGATGCTTTTTTGTTTTGTTTGCATTATAAAATTATGTTTCTGTTCACAACCTTTCTTTTCAAAAAGAAAAATTTAAATATTTAAGACTAGAATGATATATAATGAAAATTACAGAATGGGAGGAAGCCTGATAGGAAATATACTCCCTTACTCATAAGCATGACACTATGACAATAGTGCTGACACACATAAAGAGAAACAGAGTGTTTGATGAACTCAAACAAGCAAAGTGCAAAACAGTTAACATTAGCAAACAACCAACATAGTATAAAATGCAGTTACAATGGATCTGGGTGGCACTGTAGGATAATGCATTGGAACACAAGGTCAGTTTGAACCACAAGGTCAGTTTGACTGTTCAGTTTCTGGATTTCAGAAACTAAATTATGGTGATTCAATCCAGAAACTGCCCCATCATTCCTAAGTGACAGATTTACAAGCGGTAACAGACATACATAAATGAAAACTTGCATTCCTCATGATCCTTACCTTTGCAACAAAATAATCCCACATACTAAGTTCAGGAGGTATAAATTTTTCTTTATAAGATGGTCTTTCTGCAGGCACTGGTGGTGGGGTAGCATCTTTCACAGGCCTTCCAGGAACTAGCATTCGCATGTTAAATCGTCTACGGTGTTTATCTATGTCTTCAGAATGAACAGGTGGTACTTAATAAAGATAGAAGGGAAAAAAAACAAACAAACCAGCACTTATTTTCCATTACGAATTACCCTTTCTTCCTACTCTAGCCATGCTGTTTTACTGCTATATGCCATCAAGTTGATTTCAATGCATAGTGACCCTATATAGGGTTCCTCATCTTTTCTCTCACCGAACTGGTGGGTTTGAATTGCTGATCTTGTGGTTGGCAGTCCAGTTCTAAACCTAGTATCAGTCATTTTAAAGTGTACAATGCAGAGGCATTCAGTACATTCATAATGTTGTACAAACACCACACTATCATGTTTTATCAACTCAGTAGAAAACTCAGTATTCGTTAAGCAATCACTTCCCATTCCATCTCCCACAGCCTCTGGCAACCATCCATGTTCTTTCTGTCTCTACGGATTTACCTATCATGGACACACACACACAATTAAATCTTAAAAATTGTATGCATGATTGAAGTAACTACTTTGTACATGACCATAAATTAATCTGATGTAAACTGCTAACATACTCTATAAAGATTTTAAATTTTTATTTAGATATTTCTTCTCTAAGTACTGTCCGTTCTCCATGACCTTATTCCTTAATCTTGTCTCTTCACTTAGTTTTACTTCTTCTCTATTTCTTTTAATCTCAAATAGGCTCTGGTTCATCCACCTCAAAAATGTTACTTTCATAAAAATAATAGTAAATGAACCTATTTTTCATTCTAATCTGGGTTTCATTATTATGATCATAACAAACGTGATCACACTTTAAAGATCACTGATTTTCAAGTTAAAAATTCTTAAGGCATTAATTTTTTTTTTTTACTTTAGTATTAGAAATTACTTATATTTACATACAAATATGTCATTGGTGTCAAACTTATCTTACCTGAAATATTTTCTGATTGTCTCCGAGGTTTCACGACAAGTTTCGCACCCCCTCCAAAAACAGCTGCCCACATTCGATTGTTTAGTGGGTGGGCTGCAAGTCGAAACAATTCATTGGACGAATTTGTAGCCAGGGCATGTATCAGTAAACTTAAATAAACAGCAACAACAGCTTCACATAACAAAATGTTCAATTTTGGCTGGTCTTCGTCTTGGGCTGAACTCAAGAGGTTAATAAGTGAGCTCACACCTGTAAAAGCAGATAACATCAAGTGAAGTACACCAGGATAAAGCATCAAAAGATTAAAAAAAAAAAATCTAAATTTAAAATTTACCCAAAATGTCTGTGTCTATGATACACAGTATATGTATTTCCAGAATCTGAGCAACAAAATAATGATAGAAATGGATTATAATCTACATAGTAAACTAGAAATCCATTAGTCTATATTGATTATATATATATATATATATATATTTGTTGTTTTGTTGTTAAGTGCCGTAGAGTTGATTCCAATCCATAGTGACCCTGTATAGGGTTTCCAAGGAGCAGTTGGTGAGCTTGAACCACCGACCTTGCAATTCAAATGACTTTGCAGTCTGACACATTAGCCCACAGCGCCACACCAGGACTCCATTTTAATTACTTACTTATGTTGTTGTTAGGTGCCATCGAGTCAGTACCGACCCATAGCAAGCTTATGCACAGCAGAACGAAACACTGTCTGATCCTGGGCCAAGCTCATTACTGTTGCCATGCTTAAGTCCATCGATGTTGCCACTTGGCCAATCCATCTCGTTGGGGGTCTTCCTCTTTTTCTCTGACCCTCCACCTTAGCAAACATAAGCTCCTTCTCCAGTGACTGGTCCCTCCTGACAATATGTCCGAAGTATGAAAGACGAAGTTTGGTCATCCTGGCCTCCAAGGAGCACTCTGGCTGACTTATACGCACCCATATATATCTATAGGAGCCCTGGTGTGGCACTGCAGGCTAGTGCGCTGACCTGCAAGGTCACGCTGAACCACAAAGTCAAGTCAGCGATTCAAACTCACCAGCCACTCTTTGGAAATCCTATACAGGTTGCTATGAGTCTAAACCAATTCAACGACACTTAACTATGATGGGACTGTAAAAAATTCATGGAAATTTTCCATTATCTTTTTATTACAAGGAATCCTGGTGTGGTACTGCACGATAATGCACTGGACTGCAAGGTCGGTTTGAACTGCAAGGTTGGTGGTTCAAAGTGACCTTGCAGTCCAGCTCATTAACCCACAGTGCCACAGCAGGACACTCTCTCTCTCTCTCTCTGTCTCTCTCTAGATATATATGTGTATGTGTGTGTTTGTGTTTATTTATACACACAAACTTATACACATATACATAGTGAATGAGTAAGAGAGAGAATGAATGAATGAGAAACCAAGTATGATAAAATGCTAACATTTAGAGAATCTGGGTTAAGAGAATACAAAAATTCTTTGTATTATTTTTGTAAACTTTTTTATAAGTCTAAAAGCGTTTTTTTTTTTAATGATCAATTTCTAGAAACTGATAAAAAAAAAAATCTATCTTAAATGCACTTTGAGTGTTCCGCTCCTTTCCATGACACTCTTGGAAACTTACTTCCGTTTAAACCTCTGAGTCAGAGTTCTGAAGCAAGTATAGGAAGAATGAACTGGCATGGAGTGTTGGAAAGGCTGTTGAAGAGCTGAGAAGGTTTGAATTGATGCAGAGAACAGAAAGATCAACAGACATGGTTCCTTCTATATGAAAATAAGAATGCACACTTGTAGAATAATTGCATTTTCTCTGTCATATCTGTGAAATAATGTCTGTGGTATAGTTCTCTAAGATTCTAAATCAGAATTTCTAATGGTAAGGAAGATGTGCTCACGCTTATAAAGGAAGATAACATCTGGCTTTTTTATGTTGGTCAATACAGCTAGTTTTTTGAAGCCTTAAGTTTCTGAGTCTTCAGACATTATGGTGGGGTGGTGGTTATGTGCCGTGGAGTCGGTTCTGACTCATAGCGACCCTGCACAGGGTTTCTGAGGCTGTAAATCTTTATGGGAGCAGAAAGACTCATCTTTCTCCTGCGGAACAGCTGGTAGATTTGAACTGCTGAGCTTGCAGTTTGCAGCCTGATTCGTAAGCACTAGGTTACCAGACATTATGGAATTTAAGAATCCTAATCCATAGAAGAAGACATCATCAAAATCAAGCAAACAAAACTACAAAAACCATTCACCAAATCCACAAAGAGCAACAATGGAGAACCAAATTAGCTTTTCAAAACGGAATTGCAACATTTTTTTGAAAAAAGAAAACTCAAATTCGTACCAGGCCATTGAGCAGGAGATGAATTTGGTGTTGCATGTTCTTCAATGCTTTCTGTCCTTAGTCTTCTGCGATCACTTAAAAGAAGTCCTTGATAAGCCATTCCTGTAAACTGGTTTCCTTCTGTTTGACTGTTAAAACAAGTATCTTCAGTTATTTATTGTCCTAACAGAAGGCAGAAGTAATTATACTTGATACATATTATTTATTTTAGATGATTACAGTGAAAAGAAAGTTCTTAAAACTAAAGTTCATTTTCTAATAAAAATTTATCTTAAAAAGTTCTTGAAATGGATTGCAAATATTTGTTTGTTGTTGTTGTCAGGTGCCATCGAGTCGGGACCAACTCATAGCGACCCCATGCACAGCAGAACGAAACAATGCTCGATCCTGGGCCAACCTCACCACCGCTGCCACCTCCGAGTCCATCAATGATGCCACCTGGCCGATCCATCTCGTTGGAGGTCTTCCTCTTTTTCTCTGATTTGTTAGTTTTACAAAATATGCCAAGATGATAAAAAGTACTATTTATTGTGCTGGGCAGATGACATTTAGTCTTCTGAAGTCTTTCCCAGGGGCTATTTACTACTTTAAAATCTTTGCAGCTTTCTATATGTACCCATTTTTATTATTAAAAAAAAAAAATCTGTGGTAAGGAGACTACTGTTGGCAGAAGCATAGATTAGACAGAATTTCAGAATACTATTCTTTGCATTTCTTAACTCTTGTGAATTTGTATAAGCTTAACACGAATTAAAATTAAAATCTAAAAATATCTACTCCTCCTAAAATAACAATTTTTCTGAATATTTACTTCCCTCTCCATCATGGCTGTTTTTGTAGAGCTAGGAAAAATTCAAAAAACAGAAAATACAGCTAATTCAGAGAGTTGATCACAAACTAAGACAGGGAAATGCACATTTAAAAAAAAATGTTTTGTAATTTTCAATTGGCACCATTTTAACCAGTGACTGATATGAAGGAACAAGCTGTCTTGAATTATAAAGATAGTCACAGTAAACAGAATCAAATTTACCTTATTTATATTTCCAAATCTTTGGAGTTACTTAGACATGGTCTAATTGGGTTACCAACAGAACAAAGACAATTTTGAGAGAGTAATTCCTCAAGCAATATCAAATGTTCCTATAAAAAGTTATTACATTTATATAAAAAAATGAAACTATAAACGTAATGTGAAACACTATACTGTAAAAACTGTTTATTTATTGATATAAAAAACTTTTCATTTAAAGCTGAGTCTTTTCTCCATGTGATCAATTTCTTAGTACTGACTCTGACCTAGTCGTTAAAATACAAAGTATACAATCATGAAAGCAATTTGCCGCTTAAAAAATTTAAACCATTACTCCGAATTGATATCATTTCCAAAGACTTTTGCATAATACATACATAGATACATAAAATGGGTTTTAATAATTCCATTTTAAGGAATATACTTTTTCAATTTTCAAAAGTATTTTCCCTCTTTCATTTGAAAATCAGTTAAACAAACAGAAATGAATCTAGTAGTAAAAGAAATAATTTCTAACTAGAAAAAAATGAGAAAACTTCGTATTGTAAGGTATTTTGGACCGTGAAATTCTTTTCTTGAGGACAAACAACAACAGTGATAATGTTACTTCCCATTTACAATCTATCATTTTCTGTAGTTTCCTGCGGCTACTTTTGTTGTTGTTAGGTGCCTTCTCAGGTGACAACAATAATCAGTTTATTTCTGATTCTCTTGCTAAAGTCCATCTGGGGATTTTTCAGTCCCTAGGAGATAAGGCCTCAATATAACTCTGGAATAGTTATTGTTTTAGATGTATTAGGACGATTTTATTTTACTTAGCTTTTTACCTGTAGCTGTGACTGTCACATAATGCTTGGTAAATTGATGCAGAAAGTGACGCTGCTAGTGAATGAAGCGTGTGCACCTAAAACCAAAACAGCCAGAATTACATTTATACTAACATTTCTACAGAAAAAGCACACCTTAAAAATGAGAAAATACTTAAGAAGCTACTCAAATACCCTGCATCAGACTGGATCCGGCATGAGACTACAAACTGATTTTAAACTTCTAAAATAACACTCACCCCTCTTTTCATACATTCCCACATAAAAGCCAATTCAGATTACATCTTGATTAAATATTTACTTACTATGAGCCTGTGATTAACCAGACCCAGAGCCAAGTGTCAGTATTCATTGTATCGGAACTTGTCCTAGCCTATTAAAGATTAGCTTAAACAGTAGCATTCCAAAAACATCACTCAGAGCAAGCACAGAATTTCCAGAGCTCTTATGTAAGCCTGTGTTAGGAAATACCTCCTGAAAATAAAGACTTGATCTTATCAATAAGATTAATTAAGTCTGTTGAGCAAATATATCAATTAATTGTCAATTAAGTCTTGTTCAGTAAATATATCAATCACTGTGAAAAATAGCTGATTTTCCAGAAAGCAAGTAATTTACTTAGTACTCATAAGTAATGTATAGTCTTTAAATCTTAAATTTGGAAAATTTTTTAAATTACCAACTTAACATACATATCACATCCTAAAATGCCATACTGAATCAGCATGTTTAGACTCACAAAACCTAACAGTTAAAAGGATCTAGGAATAGTTTTATATTATTTAAAAGCCTTATCCAAATTTCTAGGAATTGGAAAAGTTTACTTAGCATCTGTATGCATTTTATGCCTTTTCTACATACTCATTTCTACTTGGCAAATAATTTAAGTACTCTTTGATAAAATACTGATACAAATTAATTCATGCTATGCTAATAGGCTGATACATTAAGTCTTGAGTCCCTCATAAAAACATACTACCAGAGATTGAATATGCCTTTCAAACAAAAGAAATAAAAAATCAAAAAGGTTAGTGGACCTGAGATGATATCAGCAACTAGAATAGGAAAAAGCACCATACAAGTTAAGCAGTAGAAGTCAAGACAACGCCCCAGATCCTGCCCAGCTCCCTGGGGTTTCTTGGACTGCATCCATTTTTATGTTTCCAGAGTGCAGCATACAGTTTAATTTGGGTAAAGTAATTTGAACAGCAAAGTCGGTGGTTCAAGCTCACCAGCTGCTTCTTGGAAACCCTATACAGGGTCACTGTGGGTCGGAATCGACTCGATGGCACTCAACAACTCTATGAAAACTCTGATTGCTCATATCTATTACATACAAAAATCCATTGCCATCAAGTTGATTCCAACTCATCTACACTCTACAACACAGAGTGCAATTGCCCTCGGGGATTTTCATGGCTGTCATCTTTTTGGAAGCAGACTGCCACATCTTTCTACCACGGTGACTGGTGGATTCAAATTGCAGACCTTCAGGTTAGCAGTCGACACTTAACCACTGCGCCACCAGGGCTCCTAACTATTACACAGCTCTCCAACAAATACGAACACCAGAGAAAAAGTAACAAGGATACTTTCCCTGGGACCCAACTTATATCTTCACACTATCTTAGCAGGTAAGCAAATTGTCATGTATCTTTCTAACTTAATAGCTCATTTAAAGGAGAATGGATCTAAAGAAATACAGTGACAAAAGGATAATGTCTAGAAAATTAGCTTTATTAACAAAAAAGGATCTGCCTTTTTTAAAGGAAGGAAATACATACTTTTCCAGAAGTATGAAGAATGGTTGCTTTTAAATTACATTTACTGGACACATAATCTTGAACTAATTGGGAGTGAGAACTTAGCCCATAAAGCACTCTAAGATATTTCCTCTAAGATCAAATTACAGGACAAGTACATATTTACCTTCTCAGTGTGTATAATATCAAATAAGCATAAACTTTAAATTACCTTCACATCTTCAATAGTAGGATGAGGTGGCGTTTTCATCTGAACAATAGTATACAGTATATCATGAATGTGATTATTTAAGTACAAAACCGGATTGGCTATGACTGTTTTTGTTGACGCAATACTTGCTGAAAGCAGAGGTAGGGTAGTAGGCAATGGTAGGGGAGACTGGAGCTGCTTGACCGTCGTTTCCTATGGGTGACAGTGGATTTTTTTTTTCAAAGAGGTTAAAATGAAGAAGAAAAAATTATGAATAACTATCTGACAAAATACTGGTAATAAGCAATTGTGTAAAAGTGACATGCTCATTTACTTATTCGTTTGTTTCACAAAAATGTACTGAGCATCCAGTATGTACCAGGTACTATTCGAGATTTAAAAAGTATCTGAATATGATACAGCTGTGCCCTCAAGCTTTTAAGCTTCCTCCTCATTACCAAACTGCAGTCTGAAAACACCCATGTTGAATGCAAATACCTGCCTCCTATAAATAGAGAACTGGTTTAGATTAACTAGTTTATCTAAAGGAGCTTTATAGCTATAACTACAAGAGCTACTGAAATTATTTTTTAAAAATAACCAAGATGGAAAATAAAAATGATGTCCATACCTGCTGGGATTCCTGCAGCAAAAATTTGAGTTCCATCCTTACTGAGGCCAGACCACCACCTTGGGCCCCATGGAGGCTACAGTAACTAAGAAAAACTCTCAGGAGATCTTGGTTTCTCTGCAACCATAACTTCCGTCTTTCTGCATGCTCTCGTTTGGCCTGCAACCTTCGTCTTTCTATCTGGTGGCGCTCATAGGAACCAATGTCTGGTTTGTCCACCATTTCTTCCTTATCCATCAGATTACTCTCTTCTTTGGAATATGTTTTATCAGCATATTCTTTAACAACTGACTCGTGATTACAGATCTCATGCAAGGCAGCAATTTCCTTTTCAAGCCAGTTATAGAGTTGAAATCTGAGTTTTCCTCCATCTACTTCATAGCCTGTGGCCAATGTTCTCAGTTCAGTCATGAGAATCTTTAAACAGGCTCTAAATTTTAGTTGTTCAGCAATCACATCAACTTCAGTATCACCTTCGAGAGATTCCTCTTCTTGAGGAGTCAATAACATATTAGGATCTGGGATTTTCTGGTCTTCTCGTCTATCTTTTCTTCTGTCACCTGTACTTTTCATTACTAAACCATCTTCTTCCTCTTCTCTGGCACTATCATGCTCTTCACCCCAATCAAGATTAAGAGGCTCCTCCTCCACATTTACTATTGGCTGACTCCAGTCAATCTGTGGTGAAGCTACATTTGACCAATCAATGCCAGAACTTCCATTGCCATCCCTCAGAGCTTGTGATTCTGAGGGTATCTTGCCCATCTTTTTAGAAATGAATTCAAGTTGATCTTCTTTTGCAGGTAAGGCAGATATTTTGGTTACTTTTGGAATTTTCGAGAGTACCTCCAAGGCTAAAACAGGGCATCCAACTTTAAAATGTGCATTTGCAGTGGTAAAGAATAATTTTCTCTCTATGAGGTTAATTTTATCAACAAAGTTTTTCTCAGTTTTGGGCCCTAAAGTTGCCAAAGTTCCTTCAGGGGTGGCAAAGTTTCTTCGAATAACCAAAGGATGAGTTCGAAGGTAGTTGTAAAAACTAAACACCATTGGGTTACAAGATTTGATGATAACTATAGAAATCAAACAGACACAATCACAAGGCACTGTGTTAATCTGTGCTTATGTTAAAAAAGAAAAGAACCTGTCATTACTTTTTTTTCCCCCCCAAACAGAGGATATTTAAATAGTAAGCTGTTGTTGCTGTTAAGTGCTGCTGAGTCGGTTCAGACTCATAGCAACCCTGTATAGGGTCTCTGAGGAGTGGCTGGTGGGCTTGAATCACAGACCCTGCAGTTCAAACCAACTTTGCAGTCCAGCGCATTAACCCACTGCACCATAGGCTAAACTATGGTACATCCACACAATGTACATATAACTATGCAGTTAAAACAAAGATTGTCCTTATATGCTACCATGGAATGATACTGTGATTAAGCATGTGGCTGAAGAGCTGGCAGTCTGAAACCCCCAGCTGCTCTGCAAGAGAAAAACAAGGCAGTCAGCTTCTATTAAGATTCCCAGCCTTGGAAACCCTACGGAGAAATTCTTCTCTGTCCTGTAGGGTCACGATGAGTTAGGATCAACTCAACAGCAGCAACAGGCTTTTACAGAATGATGTCCAGTATACATTGTTAGGTAAAAGAAGGGACAAAAACGTGCACACAGTATACTTACTACCTATCATCTAAGTAAGGGGAGAGGGAATGTAAACACATGAACACAGCTGCATGTAATTTTTAAATGAAAGGGGAAAAAAAATCTTAAAAATTGATGCAGAAGGCAGAAACAGGAGAGGACAGGGAAAAATGCTAGAATTTCTTTGAAAATATTTTGGCTTTCTTATGTAATTTCTTAACTGTTATTTTCTTTATGACTGCAAGGCATGTCCCCTTTTTTTGTTTGTTGAAAATAATGCTGATAGATATTCTTCCAGTGTTTAGGAAAACAACAACAACAACAAAACCCTCAATTATTTGGGGGTAACTAAGAGTAAACAAAATTTACCACACATAGATAAAGCTTTTCCAGGCTTCTGCACTAAATGGATATGTATAACTGCCCAGATTCTTACTTGGTTTCTTACCTAAAGTTTGGTCTAGGACTGTCATGAAACGAACTGTATTTGTGCCAATTTGCCTGAACAATGATTCTTTGGTTTGGCAATTGTGTAAAGATGTAATGATACCCATGACGTGACCTAAAGCATTAAATCAATCATTTGTAAAAAGACTAAGGGAATGTTGCTGCTGTTAAGTAAGTGTCCAAGAGTCAGACTCACAGAAACCAGGTATAGGTTTTCTGAGGAGTGGCTGGTGGGTTTGAACTGCCAACCCTGAAGTTAGCGGTCCAGTGCTTATCCTACAGTACACCACACCAGAATATGATCTAATGTAGTAAACCAATCAGCAGTGGACTGAGAAACAAAGTCACAAGCTCAAGCACTCCAGCTGTTCCTTGGAAACTCTGTACAGGTCACTATGAGGAACTGACTGGAAGGCACTTAACAACAACAACAATCTATTGTAAAAGGATTAAGGGAACACAACACCCTTAATCCTATTACTGCTGTGACCAACCAACGCAAAGGAGAAAGAAGTGAGCAGACAGTGAGATAAGACCTGTATCCCCATGACCAAAGAGCCTGAGATGGAGTTCATCCTTTGAACCTGGAGTGCCTGCACTGAGAAGCTCCTAGACCTGGGGGAAGACTGCTGCCAAGACACATGGAGATATCACTCCAAGGAATGCCAGACCAACAGACGCTGAAAGGAGACAAGGACTTGCCCAGAGCCAGAGAAAGCCTTCCTCCATAGCCTACACTCTGCGTTTGCATTTCTAGCCTCTTACACTGAGAGGGAGCACAGTGGCTCCAGACAATAAGTACTGGACTGCAAACCACAAGGACTGTGGACCACCAACTGCTCTGCAGGAGGAAAATGAGGCTTTCTGCCCCTGTGAAGATTTTGAAGATTTTAAAGCCTCAGAAACCCTCTATAGGATCACTGTGAGTTTAAATGGATTTGAAGGCACAAAACAACAACAACAAACTGTGAGAGAATATGTTTCCGGTTGTGAAAGCTCTGGATAACTAAGACCATGACCATGTGGAAAAAACTGCGTAACATGGCAAAGAATCTGTAAGCTTCAGTTTAATTTACGTCTGTGAAATTAGAACAGCATCTTAGTCTTATACACTTTAACATATGACTGTAAAGCTATGTAAGAAGTCTTGTTGTTGTTGTTACTGTTGTTAAGTACCATTGAGTCGATTCTGAGCCATAGCGACCCTGTATAGGGATTCCAAGGAGCAGCTGGTGAGCTTGAACCACTGACCAAACAACTTTGCAGTCTGACACATTAGCCCACAGCACCACACCAGGACTCCTAAGAAGTCTTCTTAGTACTACTTCAATTCTCATAACAACATAATAGATTCAATTTCAGTAGTAAATGACTAATCTTTTAGGCATACAAACATATTTGATAATTTTTCTAAACTGAAAAGCAAATTTGGTAATGACTGCTTTTTACGGAAGTAAATATCAGTTCAGAAACTGCTTTCCTTAAAAATACAGAGAAAACCACAAATTATGTTACCTTGATGTTCATCCTCTTCCTTTGGTGTTTGTTCCAGTAATGTGTCCAAAGCTCGGGTGTAATCTTTCATTATCCAATAGGCAAGACTACGCAGGAAAGGATCAGGATGTAATCTTTGGCAATTGAACCCTGAGCCATCCTTTTGGCACCCCAGAATCTTCTGATTTAAGATGGATATATAGGTGGATGAATTTTCAAATTCAGATTCATATAAACGGGCAATAACCATGGCTAGCTGAATATCTTCCATTTTTTCAAGACACACCTACAAATTTAAATATTTAGACATACTTATCTTACTTAATGATACTTATTTCAAAAAATGACCTATTCCACCTATATTCTGAAATTATTTATCATTTATATTCTCGTGGTGGGAGGAAGGGGCCCAGGAGTTGAGACAATTAAAAGTATTTAAGTTATTGATAGGAGATTAAGGAACAGCAATAATACAAATAAATTATTAGAATTTAGCAGCTTCTAATCTAGAAAGGGAGTCCTAGTGTGGCACTGTGGGTTAATACGCCAGACTGCAAAGCCATTTGAACTGCAAAGTCAGCAGTTCAAGCTCACCAGTCGCTCATCGGAAACCCTACACAGGGTCGCTATGGGTCGAAACCAACTTGATGGCAATTAACAACAACAGCAATCTAGAAAGATCATTAGTAAAATAAGCAAAAAACAAAGTATACAAACAACTTCTCCAACTTCGGTCAATTTAAATAAATAACATTAATGTTTAAATTAAACATGACATTTGAATCTCATATCTCAGTTGTCTTGAATATCAAAATATATTTCCAAATCAAAATAATGGTTACTATTTTAAAAGGACCTTCCATTTACATAGCAAACAGGTATGCAACTTATGAAATAAACTACATCTTCTCTTCCTACTCTCTAGGAGTTGATATTTGCTTGAATATTTTCTATGATAACTTCCCATCTCAATACTAGAAGCATTTGTTGTTTTAAAACATCGTATGCCTGAGATAATTTTTTAAATTTAATTCTACATTTAAAGTACTTTCACTTTACTGAATATTTCTGAATTCTATCATGTAGCGTTCCTATTCCTCTTTTACCTTCACCTACTTAGATTGTTTATAATGAGATTAAGAATACTAAGTGGAAAACATAGTAAACAGAAGTATTTGTAGTTACTCTAATAATCAGCAATCTGGATTATACATCAATAAATCCACAGTTTTACATCCTGACAAGCATTTCCCAATATCTCAGACTCCTGGTGTGGTGCTGTAGGATAAGCATTGGACTGACTGATAACCACAAAATCAGCAGTTCAAACCCACCAGCTGCTCCTCAGAAACCCTATACAAGGTCACTATGAGTTAGAACCAACTCCACGGCACTCAACAACAAGGACAACTATATTACAAAGCAGCGAAAACAGCCTCTGGTCTTTATGATGCATTTTATTTAGAAGAAAAAGAAAACAATTCTGCCTTTCTGCAGTGGATAAGGAGGTCATGGCCTGAGAAGTTACATGGTGGTGGTGGTTATGTGCTGTGGAGTCGGTTCCGACTTAGAGCGACCTTGTACAGGGTTTCCAAGGCTATAAATCTTTACTGGAGCAGAAAGCTTTGTCTTTCTCCCATGGAAAGGCTGGAAGTTTTGAACTGCTGACCTTGAGGTTAACAGCCCGACTCATAATCACTATGCTATAGTTCAGAATTATCTAAGAAGATAACATTTATAAGCATTTTTTGCTATTTGTTATATATTTTATACTTTATTTTAAAATACAATATGCCATACATAAAACATTTTATTTCTATTTAACCCTTGAATGTATTTACAATTTCATTTACCGCAGTGCCACTGCTTTTTAAAGTTCAGCAACCTCTGTCCTTAGAAACATATGACCAAAAAAAAGACATTTCCATGGTTTCAATTTCTTAACAAGTATTTCATAGCATATTTTCTTATTTATACCTCTATGGCATCTTTCAATGAACCAGCTAATAAGAAAAAAGCAGCGGATTGCTCAAAGCGTTGTTTTCCAAGTAAAGAAAAAGCATTTTTCAATGCGGCTTTCCGCCACCTATCTTCATTAAAGTTGTGGCTGAAAAATGTTGTCATTTTTTCATCATGCTGTGACCTGGGAATCAGAGCACAATCATCAGTGGTTAAGTCAAATTTAAAATGTCTGGGAATAGAAAGTAACTCATTATCCATCTAGAAGAAAAGTACTAACTTCAGTGATAGGTATTTGATAACAAGCAAGCATCTCTTCAATTCTAATAAGGAAATAGGAAACATGAGCTTTTTTTTTTTTTTTCCACATAGGTTAAGTTGAAAAAATATTTTGCTCATTTTTCAGTTATATTAAACTAAAGGAACCAAGGCATAAAGATTTAAGCTGTTCTGACCAAGCACAGGTACTTTGATGCTCAGCACAATCTTCATTCCATTAAAATCATGTTACGTGTAGATGCAGCTTACCTAAACAAACCCCACACCACGGCTTTCTTCTTCATGGAAAGATAGAACAATGCGGCATCCAAGGCATCATTGTTTCTTTGAAAAGAAGCTTTAGCAACCTAAAGAGTAAATAAAACATTGTCAAAATTAACTATTTGATAGAAGGATTACAAACAACTTATCAACATTTAATGATTTTCTGTTACTTTCAAGGCTGATAGAAACTAAAGAGATGGGATAAAGTCGGCCCTATTCCACAATCTCCGGTAGCTTATAAATAATGCATGGTCCTTAGCACAACCATTTGCACGCTGGTAATGAGAATAAAAGCATAATTGTTGTTATTGTTACGTGCCGTGGAGTCGGTTCCGACTCATAGTGACCCTGTACAGGGTTACCGAGGCTGTAAATATTTACGGGAGCAGAAAGCCTCATCTTTCTCCCACGGAATAGCTGGTAGTTTCGAACTGATGACCCTGAGGTTAGCAGCCCAATTCATAAGCACTACGCTACCAGAGCTCCTAGCAGCTAACATTTATTGGCTGTTCATCATACTTAGGCACTTTTCACGTCTGACTGAATCACTACAATCCATGCGGTACTAATATTATTCCCATTTTACAGGTGAGGAGAGGACAACAGAGGTGAAGTGAATTGCCTAAGGTCACATAATAAAGGGTGAAAGGGATTTATTGTTCCCTGTGCTAGACAGCTAAGGAACCCTGATAACACCTGGGTTAGGTGTTGAGCTGCTAACAGAAAAGTCAGAGTTTGAATCCACCAGCCATGCCACAGGAGAAACAGGCTTCCTATAAAGATTTATAGCTTTGGACACCCTATATAGGGTTGCTATGATTCAGAACTAACTCCACGGCACAAAGCAATACTTTTCATGTAGCTTGTTGTGACTAGATAGTTTCAGTGCTCACTTATTCCCCTCCCCCTTTGTGAGACAGATAATAATAAAATTGTCTAACATTGTTGTTGTTAAGTGCTGTCGAGTGCTTCCAACTCATAGCGCCCCTTTATAGGGTTTCCAAGGTTTGGCTAGTGAGTTTAAACCACCAACCTTGTGGTCCGGTGCTTTATCCCACAGCACCACAACAGGCCTCCACTGTCTAACACAGGAAATAATAAAGAAGGCAAAATATACAACAGGTATGACCTTTTTCTTGAAAAGTCAACATATTATATTTCTTAATGTTTTTTAGGTTAAGATACTAATTTCTATTGCATATGTGAATTAGCAATTTAAGATTCTCAACCAATATTAGTACAGATATCTGTGAATAAGTTTCAATTACACACACACGTTAAAAAAAAACTATGAGTAATTATAAATGTTCCAGTACTTTTTAAAAACATCATTTCTTTAAGCATTCTTTTCTGGTACTCTCCAACTGGATTTTATTCTGAAGGAATGACACATTCTTTCTGCTATGTAGTTACAACATAGATTATTGGCTCTCCTTTATTTTGAAGAACTTACAAATTCAGGCCTCAAAAACTGCATGAGAAAAGTTTTAAAGCACACTTAACTCCCAATGTATTATGACTGGAATGCCCTTCCAGCCATCTAATGAAAGTTGCTAAATTCATATCAATTTATATAACCTATATGTTTTTGCTGTTGTTAAGTGCTATTCAGCTGGTTCTGACACACAGCAGCCCTGTATAGGGTTTCTGAGGAGCAGCAGTGGTTTGAACCACCAACCTTGCAGTTAGCAGTCCAGTGTTTATCCTCCAACACCAATCAACTCAGTGTGAGTTTGAAAATTAAGTCAGTAACATTATGAATGTAACAGTATTGTTTTGGATACACAACATCACATAGACCATACCTTATTTTGCAAAGATACTGAGATATCCTTTGCAAATACAAACTTGTAAGACATACCAATAAAAGAAAATAGATGTTTTATCAGCTCCTATTGACTGATGGTGAAGCTGGAAGCTACACAGGCATGAGAAAGAGGGGAATGCAACCTAAAAATTATATCACAAACATAAAATTCACCATTTGTGACTAGCTAATCTCAATTCTTTTTTATTTCCCTTCCCCTTTGTTACATGTTACTCTGGTCTCCATCATTTAACTTGGTGTTTCATACTCCAGTATTTTTAATCATTTTCAGAGAAATGTTTATTTATACTAAACTAAGGTTTTATACAGTCATTTTTCACAATACATACTGTACAGTAGATTATTAAAGGAGTTGGACATTGGGCAAGCACCATATCATATACAGGCAACCCTCCAATTAAAAATGAGTTCCATTCTAAGTCTGTCTTTAAACAGAATTTGTACATAAGTCAGAACAGTCAGGTACGGTTCGTAGGTAATGTCAGTTTGCCTTAGTATAAAGTATACTCCTGGTGTGGCATTGTAGGATCAGCACTGGAGGGTGATCCTTAAGGTCAGCAGTTTAAACTAGCAGTCGTTCTGCAGGAGAAAGATTTACAGCCTCAAAACCCTACAAAGGATCACTATGAGTCAGAACAGAGTCCATTGCATATAACCATGGCACTGCAAAGCTGGTTTGAACCGCAAGGTCGGCAGTTCAAGCTCACCAGCTGCTCCTCGGAAACCCTATACATGGTTGCTATGGGCTGGAACCGACTCAACGGCACTTAACAACAACAACAAGATATAGATATGGAGTTCTGGTGTGGCACTGTAGGATACGCACTCAACTGCAACATTAGCGGTTCAAATCCACCAACCACTCCAAAGAATCCCAATATGGCTAGATGGCATTTAACAACATAGATAGATAGCTAAACAGACAGACAAAATGCACACACACACATAAATATGTAGTCCTGGTGTGGTACTGTAAGATAAGCACTGGACCATAAGGCTAGTTTGAACTGTAAGGTCAGTGGTTCAAACTCAACAGCCGCTCCTCAGAAACCCTATACAGGGTAACTATGGGTCGGAACCAATTTAATGACACTTAAAACAACAACTAGAAATACTCAATTATATTGATAAACACATTTTTGACTAGAAATTCAGAAGATCTTTGTAGAAAATATCTGAAACATTAGGATACAAAAATTTAGTGTAAATACCATATTGTTTACATGTTTAAATAAATTAACTTCCTTGCATACCAGAAACAATTTTTTGACTGGTGTTAGAACAAATTCTCTCATATGCCCATTCTGAGACTGCAAATGCTGGTATCTATTGGGCTGTCTCACACACAGCAGGAGAATGACACTTCCATCTTCACGCTGCAAACTGACCTGAGGTGCATGCACACCAGAATCACAGGATGCTCATCCAAGGCAAGATGCCAATGCCCTAGTCCACACCCCAATTAGAACCCTGCCACTGGGGACTAGAGGACTGCTGTTGCTAAGTGTCGAGATGGTTCCAATTCATAGCACTCTTCATAGGGTGTCTGAGGCTATACATCTTTACTGACGCAGAAACCTTCATCTTTCTTCTGCAGAGCAGCTGGTGGGCTCAGACCACTGACCTTGTCATTCACAGTCCAGTGTTTATCGTACAGAACCACCATGCCCCTGGTACTAGAGGGTATACATGCTAAATAAGCTTGCCAGGTACTTGATCTGACACTAACGTTAAGGAACTACAACTCTAGAGGAAGGAAATAGGGAAGGATCTCTACATCTTGAAATACATTCAGACTTCACCATTGACTATTCACCATTACCACTAACTGTTATTATGGAACTTCAATGGAGTCCTAACAGTAAAATATAAATGCGAACTCTAATTCCCCAGCCATGCTAGAGTGGAAAGGGCACAGACTAAATCTGCGGAATCTGCGCTGCTTACCCAACTTTTCTGAGTCTTCATTCCATCATGGAAAACAGAGATTTTGAGAAGATTACATGAAAGCAACATTTTGAGATGATTGCATGAAATCATTTATGAAAAACAACTCCCACCAAATTGAGTATACAGCAGGTGCTCAATAAGTGTTCATTTCAGCAATACTGAAGAAACTTTTAGCTTCCATTAACAAAATTGATACTCTTTTTCAAAAAAAGGAATCTTCATCAAGTAAAAACTATGAAAAACTGATTCTAAAAAACTATCTTAAAAAACAATATGCTTGATTTTGCTGTTGTAGGTATGTTCTTGAAGTGCATATGAGTCAAAACTGCTTTTATTGAGTAATATTTGAAGTGTATGTTATTTACTAAACTAACCAGGCAGAGAATCCTTTAAAAAAAAAAAAAATTATGATTTTTCTATTAATGTAAACAACTGACAATAACTTAAGCTTATTTTCTAAATTTAGAGTTTTGTATTGTCTTAAACTAATATACACCCCAGCTGGTTGCAAAAACTACTGCTATTCCACAGGCATATACGTAGCAAAAGACAACTGATATCAAACTGTATACTTGTTTTATAAAGATCATGTTTTGAAGATGGCTAAAAACAAAACAAAAACATTCTCACAATCTCACAAACTAACACCCCACTGTTGTTGCTGTTGCTAAGTGTTGTTGGGTCAGTTCCAACTCATAATGACTCCACTATGGGTATTTCTTCTCCAATCTGAAATACAGTGTCTTTTTATCCTTTAAGAAAAAAATTTTTTTTTTCTAATTTCAGAATTCAATGAAATCAAGTTACCTTTTCCATACATCTTCGAAGAGTGTTAATATTCCTGACCCACCAGCCTATTCCCATAGCTCTTAACTCAGACCACTGAGGGTCTCCTCTCTGAATTGCAGGAATCATATTAATCAGTTCTTCCTCAGCCTCAGAATGAAAAGCCCAGGCAAAATGGCATGTAGACACACCTAAATTAAAAAGATGAAATAACAACCTTCAGAACGGTATCAAATGACAAATTTTCATATAGTAATGTATTTATTCATTCTGGGAAGAATTTTCAAGTAGAAAAAAATTATAAATGGCTCTTATATTTCAAGACTGTGTAGCATAAGCTTCTAAAGACAGGATCATAAAACCAAAATCTCTATTTTCTGTCCAAATGTATGTGTTTTTTCCCCCATTACAAAAAACAGCAATTCTAAAACATGGTTTCATTAAAACTGAGCATTTTAATAAATTCACAACAGAATCATAAAAACAAAATCTCTATTTTCTATCCAAATGTATGTGCTTTTTCCCCCACTACAAAAAACAGCAATGCTAAAACATAGTTTCATTAAAACTAAGCATTTTAATAAATTCACAACTAAGTACACTAAAGTTATCAATAGTAATGTATCTTTGGTCAAGTCAAAAGCACTTGGGCCATGTGCCTGGGTATTTTTGTCACACTTTTACTTTCTTGAGGACCACAGTGTTTAGTACTGAATTCTGAAATTGTTCCATTCTTCCCTCTGGCCACAGAGGGAAATACCACTTCAAAGAAAGTGCTAAATTTCAGGAACATTCCTAAGTCTATTAGAGGTAAGTCACAGTCAAGATCAGGCCTTTAGGACCTTGGGTTAAAGGGTTAGTAGCCATTGAGTTGATCTGACTCATGGCAACTCCATGTGTGCAGAATAGAACTGCTCGGTAGGGTTTCAAGGTTGTGACCTTTAATAAGCAGATCATCAGTCTTATTTCCAAGGCACCTCTGGGTGGGTTTGAACTGTCAACCTTTCAGTTAGTAGTCCAGTGTTTAATTATTTGAACCACCAGGAACTCAGCTGCCTCACAGTGATACTACATGGCAAACTCTTTTTCACCCTGTAGATTAATGGAGGATCTAAACTGAACTTAGAGACAGTCACTCCTTGGAGAACCTATTCAGGATCAGTATGGGTCAGAACCAACTCGAAGGCTTAACAAGAACAGCATACCCTTAAAATACCAATAGCTATGGTATTTTCAATTGCCTCATGTGTAAGTAAAAGCTGGACAAACAAAAGGAAAGACCAAAGAACTGATGCATCTGAATTACACTGTTGGTAAAGAATATTGAATATACTATGGACTTCCGGAAGAATGAGCAAATCTGTCTTGAAACAAGTACAGGCAGAATGTTCCTTCAAAGACAGGATGGCAAGACTTTGTCCAAATGCTTTAGACGTATTATAAAGAGAGACTAGTTCCTGGAGAAGACATCATGCTTGGAAAAGTAGAGGGCCAGAGAAAAAGAGGAAGGCCAACAATGGGCGCAAACATAACCAAGATGGTGAGGATGACACAGGACTCAGCAGTGGTCCAATCTCGAACACAGGGACACTATGCATCAGAAGCAACTCAATGGCACATAACAAAAATAATACCATAAACAAATTTTCATTAATTGAAAGTTTGATGAATGTAATTAAGAGGAAACAAAATGCACAGAAGCATTTCAAAGGGGATGAGGTTCAGAAAGCAAGAGTAAGACAACAGTGAATGTTTTTGGAAATCTAACTTTTAAAGGGGAAAAAAAAGGTATTAGGAAGAAAAAGTAACAGGTACCAATGAGCATTTATTTTTACCTACAAATGGCAGGCTATTCTTTGTGTAGTTGATCTCTGTTCTGCTTAGTTTTTCTGTCTTTATACTGGCAACCCAACTTTTCCCCTGAAAAGTGCTCTCAGGATGATTATCTACAACCTCTGTCAGTTCTCCCCTCCACTGTTTTCACTGGAGGAAAACTAGAGGTAGGTCTGAGTATTCGAGGCAATGTACACAATTGTCATTCATCAATTCAACACCATTTGACTATCATTTGAGACCAAAATAGAATAAGGACATTGAGATGCCATTTTTCTCATGTGTTGCTATAGGATAAGCAATGGACTGCTAGCCAGCTGCTCCTCAGAAACTTATATAGAACCAACTGGTGGCACTAATGACAACAACAAGTGGTATATGACGAAACCCTGGTGGCATACTGACTTAGCGCTCAGTCAATAACTGAAAGGTCAGTGCTTTGAATCCACAAGTTGCTTCTATGAGAGAAAGATATGGCAGTTTGTTTCCATAAATATGGCAACCTTGAAGCTTTGTGGGGCAGTTCGATTCTTTCCCATAGGGTAGCTAAGAATCAAAATCAACTCAATGGCAAGGGATTTGATTGTTTTGTTTAGGGAACTATACATACTGTTTTAAATTATAATATCAAGTGTCGGCCACCACCACCCATCTGTTAAGTTTGTCATACTGTAGTGGTTTGTGTGTCGCTGTGATACTAGAAGCTGTAACACTGGTATTTCAAACCAACAGGGTTATTACCTATGGTAGCCAAGTTTCAGAAGCTTCTAAACTCAGACACACTAAGAAGAAAGGCCTGGTGAGATGCTTACAAAAGTTAGCCAATCAGAACACTGTCTGACTTGCTTCTTTTGATGCATTATCAGGAGGGCTTAGTCATAGAGCAGGGCATCCTATTCAGTGAAGCAGAGGACTAGCAAGGGAGATCCTCCATGAAATGGACTGGTACAACAGCCTCAATGATGAACTTGGCCATGCCAGTGATTGTGAGGGAACAGGGACCATAGCACCCACTGGACATGAAACTGCCATGAGTCAGTGTCAACACAACAGCAGGTATCTTTCCATTTACCCAAGTTGACAATAAGTTCAGAGTGACATCATCAAACATCGCTCTGGTAATGTAAATGAGCAGAGACTTTCTAAAGGGCACTTTGGCAATATTTATCAAGAGTTAAGCATTTTCATGTACCTTAACTCAGTCATTTTATTGCTAGAAAACTAACATGAGGCAACAATAAGAAATACATGCAAAAAATTTATGCCATTCAATATAGTAATCATTCAAATAGGAAAAAGAAACCAGCAGAGCCAAATGTTTTAAGAAAAAGCGGTATTATTGTTAAGTGCTATCGAGTTGGCTCCAACTCACAGTGACCCTACATAGGATTTAGAAAGTGACTTGTGTGTTTGAACCCCCAACCCTGTGGTTTACAGTCCAGTAATTATCCTATAGCACTACACCAGAACTCCATATAAAATGTTCAAAGAACAGTAGCTGAGGGAGAGGGTAAGCGCCATGGGTGAGGATAAAGCCTGGTATTAAAGGTCCTGCAATATTGATATATATATTCTGAAGCTGTGTCCAAGTTTGTTTCAAAAGGGACGTAATCTAATGAGAAGAGCATCTGATTGAGATTCTAATTCCAACTCTAATAATCTGGGATGTCATTGTGAAGTACATACCAAGTTAGTTCTGACTCATAGCGACTCTCTATAAGATTTGAACCACCAACCTTGTGTTTAACAGTCTAGTGCTTATCCTACAGCACTACAGTAGTTGTTGTTGTTAAGTGCTGTCGAGTCAGTTCTGACCCATAGCGACCCTGTATAGGGTTTCTGAGGAGCAGCTGTGAGGTTGAACCGCTGACTTTGTGGTTCAAACTGACTTTGGAGTCCAGCACATTAACCCACAGAGTGCCACAGTAGGTGACTTTATTCTCTATAATTTTAATTTTTTAATCTATAAATTAGCAGGCTGATACAAATCCTTGTCTCAAATTAAGGAGCATGGCAGTATACTGAAAATATACAAACCTATGGCAGCTCTTCATACAATGATCTTCATGAAACATAAGCTTTACTTGCCGGCCAAAATACTTACATTTCACCAACACAAATAACAACAAGCAGAGCAAACTTTGTAAAAACGTTAAAGCTAAGAGAGAAGTGCTGCCTCACACTGACTACATTTTCTCCCTAGGCTACTACGTGGTGTTGTTTGTTGTTGTTAAGTGCCGTCGAGTCGGTTCCAACCCAGAGCGACCCTGTACAGGGTTTCCGAGGCTGTATATCTTTACGGGAGCAGAAAGCCTCATCTTTCTCCCACGGAGAGGCTAGTAGTTTCAAACTGCTGACCTTAAGGTTCACAGCCTGATTTGTAACCACTATGCTACCAGAGCTCCTTGGCTACTACAGATCTGGAGCTAAATAAGAAAAGCCACAGAATAGAGCTGAAGGAAAATGATAAACTAAATGGCTTCTCTGTGACTAGAAGACGTTATAGCCAGTGACAGGTATACATAGAAGGATTTATTACCTGCTGATACACAAATATAAACACACCCATCACTCCAATACCAAGGAAAAGCTGTGCGAACGTTCAAACAACAAGTGGAATACCTTGATGAAGCAGCTGTACTCGGTATAAAGGAGGCAGTGAAGTCAAAAGGCATGTGTGCAAGCGCATAGCCAAGAGGTATCTCAAGCCACACTCATCTAATGTGTCTCTTCCTGTGGTTTAAACAGAAAATGTTTCAGGAAAAAGAATGTAACAGACCACAAAACTTAAAAAAATTATCAAACAAACTTAGTCATTTATCTCAAAATATAGATAATAATTTTTAGTGAATTCCTTTGTAAGTACTTCACTACCTTTACCTCCACTCCCAAAATAATAAAAATAATGTGAATGACAAGAACTCCTAAGTGAAAACTGATTGGAGAAAATACAATGAACTATTATTATAGGTAACTGCATTTATATTTACTCAAAAGAAATGAAAACTTTAATGTTGAAATCTAATGAAAATATATTGATTATAGTAAATTAGGCACAATTTAAAAAATGTTTCCTATATGAATTCCAGCGATATTTAAAGACAAAAATTATGAAACCAAATTGAAAGTTTTTTTATATAATTAAATAGGTAACATTTTCTAGGCTGATTAGCTTAACTGAAATGTGATACTACCATAGATTTGAGATTTTATTTTCCTAGGCTAATCAGCATTAAAAGGTTAAGAATGTAACCTTGTGTAACCATGACTCCATAAATTTACTTTTAGTCAAAAGTTGAACAAACATGAAAACATGGCAGGTTTAGTGAAAACTGGCCACTGTCAGATCAAAGCAATGCATAGACCCGTAAATGCCACATAGGAAGCACTCAGCAAGTGTTCAATCAACTGATATTTTCTGGGAGAAAATAAAGTATCTTAAATTTCCAAAGGTTAAGTCCCAGCTTTGCTTCTCATTAGCTATATCTGTAATCCACCCATTCAATCAACAAATTAAGCATCCACTACATGGGAAGCACATTTTAAGTACAGGAAATAGGGCAGTGGATAAAGAAAAGTCGCCGCACTCATGAGGTTTACAGTTTAGGAAGTGGAGACAAACAAGAAACAAGCATACACAATACGTAGTGGAAATTGATGCTATGGGGAGAAGTGCACCATAAATATGGTAAAGTACACAAAATGCCTCCCACATGGTAATTGTTTCTTCTTCCACAAAATGTATTGAGTGAATGAATGGTCACTAATTTGTGGTTTCCTTTGCTAATACCATCCTTTATAATCAGTACTATTAATTTCAATGATCTGATAAAAGAGAATAGGGTCTAATTATAAGAGGAAACCAAGAATTATCTGGTTATAAAATTAATAGGTAAGATACACATTATATTAAATTATACGAGAACCTCTTTCTCAAGAAATGTTTTTGAGAAAATTAACTAACTATAAAAATTATTTATACCCAGAAATACGAGCATGAGTCTATAGACCCCTGTGAGCCTCATGACTTTATACTAAAATTAATAAAATGGACCACCACTATCAATAAAAGTAAAAAAATAAAACAAGACATCCACATAGGAATCCGTCTGTCTGGGAAACAAGTGACTATGCAAATTCACACAAAGATTTCTCTATAAAAATGCATGTACACAGATATCACATATCCATGAAGTCACATGCTTAAGTCATAGTTTGCCCAAACTGCGGTTTTGGATTTTGCCACTGAGCATATCATATATTAGTAATGATCCACTAAAGAGATCTTCCCCCACCCCAAAATTTAAAAGAAATACTGCAATTCAACATTTGAGTCACTATATAAATAATACAAATATGCCTTTTAATGTTAACTTTTTACATGTTTAGTGAGGATATTTACCTGAGTAACTTTTATCTCTGTTTTCATCCAGCTCAGTACTGGTGGTAGCCACTGTATCAGCCAAAGCTACAAGGAACATCTGTTCCAAGCGGGTAAGGCCTGGGAGACTTGAGTGCATAAGATGACTTGAAAGTACTCTAGCATGTTCTTGACCAAAGTAAGCTGGTCCATATTGAGAGAGATTTATCACTTTTGATTTATTTTCTCTCCTTTCTGGCTCTAAATCAATGTCATCCGTTGTTATCTCCTGGATTTGAAACAACTCTGAATACTGGTCCTCAGGTTGACTTTTGGTCTGATCTTCATAGCTCTGGGGGATTTTTGTACTTTCTTCCAAAATTCTGTAGGTTGTATCTTGATCTGCAGCAAGCAATGCATGTAGTGGTAGTGGAGGGATAGAATCTATCTCAGTATAATCTCGAGTGCCATCTTTCCCTATGGTGACTGTATCCTTTGCTGTACTGCCACTTACACTGATAGTTCGAGAAAGATGGCGCTTAGTTCCTTCTCCAGCATCAGCATCTCTAACTATTGCAACTTCACCTGCAATACATTTTACTAAATGAGAGAGAATGGCTTTAGCCCTTCGAACTTTCCCTAGATCCATCAATTCTAACAGTTGAGTTGGATGATATTGTGGGAGAGTAGGGGAAAGTACATGTGCAGCCTCAAATAAACCACCATCTTGAACTACCGTTGGTGAACAAAAAACATCATCAGCAATAGCTGTTGCTTCAACAATACTTTTTCTTGCCAACATATTATATTTAAAGGCAGCGTGTTCTTGTATCACTGACTCTTCTACATCAGGACTTTCAGTTTCAATGTCTCCAAATTTGACAGCATGCTTCCACTGTGCATATACATGCATTTCACAGTCCATTCCCACCACCAATATTCCATCTCTTACCCAAGAGAGAGAAACAGGCAGCGACGGTGTACCATCAACAGATGACACCAAATCTATAGATCTAAGAAGAACCCATCTTGACCTGACTCCTTGCTTGATACTACCACCTAGTGGTAAAGTAATGACAGCTACTCCCTCTTTACTATTGGTTTGTTCAGTTACAATTCCTGAAAGGCGCCCATACATGAATATATTAGCACCAACCCCCACTGTGAGAATGTGGGAGCCGTCTTCTTTCGATACCCAGTCCAGATGTACTAAATGCTTTATATTCGGAATTAGGTATCTATCCTTGCTCAAAAAAGTATCAGATTTGCTGTATACAAACAGATTGCTGTCAACACTGACCCTTGAATCAAGTACACTCCCAACCTTAACCAAATCATCAAGATGAATTGTTTGTTCTAAAACCCATTCTGATCCTCCTGTAGATTCGCATTCAAATATACAAACATGCATGGAAAATTCTTTAGAAACAAAACCATTTTGGTGGATAGGTTGCTTGTAAGCCACTGCAAGACGACCTGTGTATGAGCAGCTAACAGCAACTGGTCTTCCCACAATGCTCACTGTACTGCTGTTATCTTCGCCTTCATCATTCATCAAGGGCCATCTCCTCCAGTGATAGATATCTTTCTCGTCACTTTCACCTTGCGAATTGGTTTCCATGCAGCATTTCCAGAAGCGTACTTTATTGTCAGAACAAGTTGTGACCACCAGATATGGTGCAAGACACACTGGATAAATTGAAGAAGAACTCAGATGGCCTTAAAAAAAAAAAACAAAAAAACCATAGAGCAGATAGTCATAATAATGGAACCACAGAACAACATGCTAGCAATCAAATTACAGACTGTGATAAACACAAGGCCACTATTAAGCTGCTTTAGGATAACTCTTCAGTGCCCTCCTTGTTACTGCTCTGCCATTTTTCCTGTGTCAATGTCCAAGGACTACTGCAGCTGTAGAAGTCCTTTAGTAAAATCAAAACATGCAGTAATAATCTCTTAGTTTGTTTCTCGGTAATTAAGTTTAAATGAGGCAAACATTTAAGTTAAAACTCAAAAGCAATGGCAATTCAACTCTTAATCAATAAATCTGTTATCTGCCATAATTTATATATGCTGCTACCACAACAAGCGTCAATGGATTTTTATTCTGTATTTGTTATCACTTTCATCATAAATGCTTAAGTAGACATTTCACTCTGCCCTTCAAAATTCCTAACTTCCCTTCAAATAACCCAGACCCTAGTCTACTCCTACCATCAAAATGTTTTCAGGCAGCTAAACAAGGAACCACAATTAGACTTCCACAATGACAGATCATTTAAAATACAGAAGCCAGCCCCTCCAAACTACTGTATCTGCCTTGCTAAACTTGGTGTCATTCTAGGATAGCCAAAATATAGTTCATTCAAAGTATTTGTCAACCTCTGTGAAATGAAAATGAGACATGATTAGCACAATGCTGATTTTAAAAAGTCTTAACTGAAAAAAAAAGTTCAGTGATATACAAATGAACTTGTTTGTTTTTTGCAATATTACTATGATAGTATTCCACGAAATGAAAACTCAGGCACGAAGCCACACATTAAATGCTTACACTGTTTTTGGCCAAGCTAATAACATTTATCACAAGAAATTGTTTCTAACAAACACATGTTTCTAAACAGATGTATCATTACTAAAAAATAAATTCTTATTTCAATAAAGCACATATTTCAGATGAGCTCATCAGTTTTACCCACTGATGATCGTCCTCAGTTACAACTCCCCACTCAGTTACTTACCTGCTGAAGGTGTTGCTCTTATTACTTCAACTCCTTCTGGAAGGTCAAGAGGTCGGCTATAAACCAGTCTAGAACTCAGAATAAGTTTACTGGCCGTTTGAAGATTGGCAATTGATGAAGAATGTGGCATATGGCTCACACTAGGTGAAGCTTCTGAAGACGCGTCAACTGTCTTCTGACCAGGGACTGAAAGCATTCTCTCTGAGGAAACACCTTCTGCAGCTTTGGCTTTGAAAATCAATTGTGACATGTATTGTTACACGCACTATATATACATAACAGCTACAATAAAAATTTGCACATGGTTTCTTACAAGTATTTTGGAGACAAAATCAACTTTCAGATTTTTACTAATTACCCTGATTTTATATATATATATATAT